GGGGGGGGGGGGGGGGGGGGGTGTGGGCGGCCCTCTCTGGTCCCCCATTCAAAGTATTTTTTTAGTGCAGCAAGTGGTTGGCAGCCGGAAAATTGTCCCGCACCTTAGCCGAAGCCGAGACCCAAACTTTGTCGGCCCAGTTAAGGCTCCCCATCAACAATAGGCAGGCAGACAGACTTCCCCTGCGTAGAGAAGAATTAGATGAAAATGAAGGGGGAGGGGCGAAATGAAAAAAACGTAGTAAAAGAAAAAGAAAAAAAGAAAAAAAGAGGCATCCGAGGCATGCAGAGATGAATCTCCACCAAGATCTGGGGTGTTGAAAAGACGATGACGTGGTGGTAGCGACAATTGCTCTGAAGGCACCACCAGACTCTGAGCCTCGCTTGGACGAAAGCATGCCTCGCCAATTGCTCGGGTGGGCAAACAACTGTTTAAGGAGTGCCCCGGGTAATCGTATCAGCCGGTCGACGATTAATCGGCATTGATGACCCCCATTCTTGGTGTACGCCGAATGTGATCCATGAGCCGAACGCGCGTGATGCGCATAGTAAAAGAGAAGAGAAGGCCCCGGACACTGTAAGGAGGATTTTCCGTGTCCTAGAGGCAGGAATGCTCTCCTCCCTAACGATCCCGGGTTCCCTCATGCCCTCCATCCGTCCACAAAGGTGTAGAAGACTTGGGGCCCGATACCCTGTTGCTCTCCGCCCCGGGACACAACGGGCGGGGTGGCACAAGTGACACCACTGTTAACCATGCTGGCCGTCTCGCGCAGCCATGGCCATGATGTAAATGTAGCACTATATACGAATCCTCGCGGATGTTTTACGAAATCTCTCTTTCCATCCCATCAGTTTACCATATAACCGGTTGCGCGTATGCGGCGCGCGGTGGGCGTATGGTATAGACTCGGTAGGAGCCCAGCACCGCCGATCTTGGTCGCTGCGCCGCTCCGACGCACACGCTGTATAGTCTGTTCCCCGCATGCTATGTTTCTCACGAGAGAAGACGCATTCTTTCACTTTCTTGGCTGAGAAGACGCAGTCTTTCACTTCCTTGACTGAAAAGTGCAGACTGAGAATGAGGGACCGCGGCTCTGCAGTACCCGAGGCCACCACGGGTTCTTCTCGTACAATCATTTGCCGATGTCATGAGCTGACATCACATCCTGCGGTCTCTGTACAGGTCCAGCCAGCCGTGCGTCTGGTGTAGGCCCTCGTCTCTTGACCAAGGTGGGCTGAGACGAGACATGCAGAGGCAGCTTTAGGTGAGTCCACGACTCTCATAGCCAGGGTGCCTGCATGGTCGGGGCAGCATCATCATCTGGTATGGATGAGTTCCCATAGACCAAAAACATCGGTACAGTGGTAATTCATGGCACCTATTGCCGGTGCAAAGGCCGCGCAGTGGTCGCCATCGTTTCTCCATGGCATCGCTTCCTGCTGCTTGAGAAAGGCGATGGCAAGCTGGGTGTTGGTATGGGCGAGAACTGACCAGCACTGGTTGTGTTTCTATGTTGCCGCCAAGGTCGGCCGGTGTGGGGGGAGAAACCGCAGACTGGGTAGGGATACGGGACCGTCGGCGCCGACAAGTGCCAGCTGCCATCATCGACTCCTCATCAGCCGAGGGAGTCGCTTGGTAGAGGTTTAGAATTCATCCCGAAAGGAATCGTGTATGTGCAGTTGAGCAAAAAAAATAAAATTGCTGCATGGTTACTGAAGTCGTCATGGCTGTTGATCTGTGTCGTTGCGTTGCACCTCAAGTGGCTCATGATGCGCGAGTTTGGGCAGGCACTGGCAAGCAAGACGATGGACTTAGGTCACGTGATGTTAAATCACGTGCATATATTGCTTACTACTCGTAGGTTGAACGTCCAAATTCGCGAGCACAGGTACGTCCATGCCACAACAACATGGACTCTACTCCGCACATGTACATGTAATAGATACTACACGGACTACCACGGAGTAATATTGCAATCGGTACAAATGGTTGAAGAATTATGTCAGCATTCTTCAGCCCTGCCCAAAAAAGCAACGATAGGAGGCGCCAGTCGGACGGCATCGCATCAACACTCTCAATCGAGCATGGAATCAAACGATGCAGGGCTTTTGTCCTCTTGGGCCTCTCGCCCCCTTTTGAAGGGATCCGTTTTCCGTGCTACCTTTCGAATACGAGGCCTAATCATCGGCATGGTGGGCTGCTCTCCTCCAAGGTCTTTGAGTCAAGGGAGGGGAGAGATCGACAGACAATCAACCTAGGCCCATGGGGTCATGCGACTCATGTCGCCCCAACGCACGCTCCTAAGCACTCGTGGCTCGTTGGGCCATCCATGATCGTTCTCCATCTCTACGAGCGAGTTGATAATGTACACAGGTTGATGTACACAGTACATGTGCTCCGTGCGATACACCACCTGGATTGGGCCAATATGATACTCCGTAATACGGAGTACACTGCACAATATACGTCAATCAATCAATGACAATGCGTCATGGTAATCTGCCAAGTGCCGAGGGTTAGGGATCACTGAAACCCCGGAGCTTGATTTATTTTCATCCCCCCCACTGCATTGACCAATCTCCAAGTTTCGCCTCCTGAATCCTTGACCAGACACGCCTTATGAGTTTCGCTTGACGGTACGAGCACAGTATTAATATGGATAGTATTACTCCGTGCCTCTGTCACAGAAGATATGCTACCACGGCTCTTGCGTGGCTACCAAGAAATACAAGGCGATCGTTCTCGACTGATCACGACTCTTTATCTCGAACAGTACGTCAGAATCATGCCTCTAAACCACAAGATGATCTTCGTCTTCACTCGATGAGGACCTCATAGCGCAACCCCGGCTCGGCGCCTTTTCTAGGAAATACGATAAGGCCAGTATTCAGGCACAAAGAGTCTGTATCGTAACTCACCCTGCACGAATGTATATCAGCACCCCCATGCGAGTAGAGCCGGCATTGCATCAGTCGGGTGGCAGCGGGCAAACGGTGGTCTTGAGAGGTGTGTAGTCTTCTAGCAAGTCAGATCCGTGTCACACTCCTCGATGACGGTCATAGACAGGCACACACTCTGCGTGATCTCGGATTCTGCCAGACCGAGAACGCTCTTCTCCGGTACCGAACGGACCATCTTCTCTCCTAGAATGTGTCACCTTGAAAATATCCCTACATGTACAGGCTACGGATATGCCGTATCCCACACGTTCCGCCCGGTGGGCCATCATCGCCGTCATCGTCTTGTCCGCCCTGTCGGGCTGTCATATTGTGCCCCAACAAGACGAGGAAGGCTACGGGCATCGCTCGTGCAAACGCACAGACGCGTGCGTACAATCGGACGGGTGAAAGACGACGGCCATCTTTGCCACGCAACTTTTCTTGCTTGTCCGTCCAAGGGCCAACGACGGGAAAGTCCGTATGTTGGCCAGACGCATGAAGATGGTCCCTGGTTCATGATGCTTCAGGCAAGCAGACGCTACGCTTCGTTGATTCCATGGAACCTCGAGCCTCCACACCCGAAGAGCGATTTCCGTACCGTCGTCCATTGGACCGCTGAGTATTACATGTAGTATCGCCAACGGTGATGTAGCAGATACGGCGCACCATAGCAATACGAGCACTCAAACAGGGAGACTGCCGCCGTCCTGCTCTGCAGTCTACAGAGGCTATGATACGGTCCGTGCCTGCTAATGCATCGCGACATCCAGTGCAGGGATCAGCAAGGCAAATTATTTGCTACCCCGTTACACATCAAAATGCCGGTCCCACCAGGGGTGCAGGTTGCCAGGTACACATACGGAGCAGCTTTGATATACGACCAGACTGTTTCCGCGAGACGCGTGCGATGAGGGGCTATGCCGTGCTCCCTCCATCTTCTCATGCGGTGAAGGCTTCTTTTCCGACTCTCGCTTGCCTCGCTAATAGTAGTCGCTTTATGATATGATATGATCCCTTGGCTTCAGCCCCCTCGTTCGCAGAGGCTACTCTCCTAGCTGTCGTTCTGCGTCGCAGTCATTCTTTTGTCTTCTTCATCTCCTTCTTCTTTCGCTTCATTCTTTTTCTGCTTATCTGTGTGGGGGATTCTTTCCCCCCCCCTCCCCTCTTTTCAACGCCGCAGTTCAATCTTTCGCTACAGCCGCTCTTTCACGCCGCAGACACTCTTTCAGCATGTCGCCCAGCGACGAAGCCCAGGAGATGGTGCTTCTTGACAGGATCAACGGCAGACGTCCAGCTAGTATCAGCCCGAGCATCGCCCCGAGCAACACGCAGGGTCCTCTTGGCAGCAGGACTAGCCGTGTCCTGGCCGGGCCCGATCCTGACAGCCCTTCCAACGAATCCATCCGCAGTCACAGCATATCCCCTCCGTTGGCAGTCTACAGCCCACCGCCGAGAGATCCCTCTCCTCTGCCCGGAACTGAGCTGCCACGCCACCATTCCGGTCCGGACGGCCCCATGTGGTCGCCCGGCTCGACAGTCCAAGGAACGCCGCCGACGCCGCTATACGAAAGCCACGATAACTCGGGAGACAAGTTTGACGACCAAACCTTTCACGGTAGCTATGGTGAGTGCGTCCGTCCGTCGCCACACCGTGGGCATCCGCTAACCATGTCTGAGCAGGCCAGCCGCCCACATACTGCCACTCCACGGGCGAGATCCACGCCTCGCGGACCAGTTTCCTGCCACTGTTCATCTATGTTCTGTCCCTATATACCACCATCATGAGCGGCATCTGGCTCGTCGTCTCCATCCTGCAGCCACGGTGGGGGTATGGCATCTCGTCACGGCGCGGGCTGGACCCGTCGACAGCCACGACACTGGCCGCCCTGATATCCAAGACGATTGAGATGTCCTTCGTTACCGTCTTCATCACCTTTCTCGGCCAGGTGCTGACGCGCCGCTCCATCCTCGGCAACAGGTACGGCATGACGCTCGGCGAGATGTCGATGCGCAACTGGGTGATCCAGCCGGGCTCGCTCCTGACGCATGCCGAGACGATACCCGGTGCCAGCATGACCATCCTCGGCGCCCTCTCGCTGATGGCGATGCTCGGCGCTACATTCTACACCACGGCCTCGGACAGTATGATCTCTCCCAAGCTCAAGTACGGCAAATGGGCCACCCGCGAGCTGTATGGCTATGTCCGCGCGTCGTATGCCAACGCGCAGTACGTCGAGAGCAGCTGCCCGCAGCTCATCGGTCGCGAGGATCCGATCCAGGCCCCGGCGTCGTGCATGAACATCCAGTCGTCGGGCGACAGCTACCATAACCTCCTCAGCATCATGACGACCTGGACGGACATGGACCGCAACGGCACCACCAGCCGCGATTCGCTGGGTACGCTCCTCGACCGACCGGCCGGCACCGCCCTGCTCTACGACAACGTCACCATGCTGGGCACCTGGATCGAGACGGAGCACAGCAACGTCGCCCTCGCCTACCTCGAGCACAAGCGCGTGATCAACAACGTGACCATGGCCATGCCCCACCCGGGCGTCTACAAGGCCGTCAGGGCTGAGATCAACAACATCATGCAGCCCGACGACCTGGCCGGCGTCGGCTCCTACTCGGTCCGCGCAGGCGTCGTCTCGCCCACCATCAATGCTCTGTGCGTCAACATGGACGCCGAGGAGCTCGCACCGCTCATCTACACGACGTGGCCCGACAGCACGAATGAGGCCACCGGCGTCGGGAACCAGGTTGTGGGGCACAGTGCCTGGCAAGATGAGGTGCCTCAGGCGTACGACGCTGACGGGAAAGCCGACTATCTCAACGAGACCGTGCTGGATTCCATCTTCGAATGGGGTGAGCGTTATGGCCGTCGGCCGCCGGTATTTCAACTGGTAGGTTCTCGAGCTCCCGCCGTCCGCCTCTCTCCCTTCCTCCCGCCACCCATGATTGACGAGATGCGCAGTATCCTTCCGACTATAACCTGGTGACGAACTCGACCATCTACATGGGAGATGCCATCTACCTGCTCGGGAAGAGCCCGTCGATGGATGACTACACCCTGTGCCAGCTGCGCTCCTGGGTATCGCCCAACTGCTCCACGCACTTTGACGTCTCCGGTATAGCGGGAGCCAACATGCGTGCTCACTGCGAGGACCCCGACGATATCGACAGCTACTACCGCTCGTACCCGCCCGGTCAGCAATGGCCCGGGCCTTCGACGGACTGGATGGTACGTTGTCTTCCCCCAAGCCCGGAGGAGGGGAGAGAACCTGCCGAGACTAACAAGGCTCGACAGTGGCTCGGCGAATCCTGGAGGCTCTCCATGGACCTCAACTCGGGCGTCGTCAACGGCAACGGCTCGCACGCGCGCATCCTGACCCAGCTAGCCCTCGACGAGCCCAAACTGCCGCGGGCGCTCCCCTCGCTGGCGGAGACGCTGGCCATCTACGCCAGCTCGACCATCATCAACGGCGCCGTCGACACCCCGTTCGTGCACTACTGGGACAGCGCGGAGATGCAGCTCGACTTCCCCGGGAAGCTTCAGGCCTTCAACGCCACGATACGCTCGCAGCAGTACACGTCTGGCCACGACAACGATTGGCAGGGCATCTTCTACATCATACTCACGCTCGTCTTCGTCGTCAGCCTCGTCTGCCTCTTCTACCTGTCCCTGCACGCCGGGCTCGTGACCGACTACACGGAGCCGCAGAACCTCTTCGCCCTGGCCATGAACAGTCCGCCCAGCGCGGAGCTGGCAGGCAGCTGCGGCGGCGGGCCCCAGAAGCGCCACTTCAACGTCCCCTGGCGCGTGGCGTACGCCCCCAGCGCGCGTCACTACTTCTTCGACGAGGCTCTGGGCGACGATGGCGACGGGGATCGCGGCCGGCAGGGTCAGCCGCAGCAGAGGCAGGAGAATACCGGGCATAGCACGGCGACGAGCTTCCCGACCAAGAGGGCTTCGGCCTATCGGAGGCTCAGCACGGAGAAGGGCTGGCTGTCGCCGTGACGTTGCCAAATAAGTCTTCACATCCTAACGATTTGGTTTTTCCTTCTTCTTTTTTTTTCAAATAAAAAATTTAATAAATTTAAAAATAAAATAAAAGTACTCTCTGCATTGAAGAGGTTTTAGCCCACACACACACACACACACACATACACACACGCACATACACACACGCACAGGACAGATACAGATTTAAATGAAAATCTAAACTCTCTGAACCTGACGATGATATATCGATCGCTTCACCTATCGATGCCTGTAGAAGTAGCGGGCGTGGCCGATGCCGACCCGCCAAAAAAAAAATAAAAAAAATTTAATGCCTCGGCTCAGACGTCGAATATTTTCTCGTACTACTACTACTCTGTCCTTCTCACCGTCTTGGACACGTACACCTCTGTACATGTTTTGCAACCTTAGTGGACAGGGAAGAAGAAGAGGAAGAAGAAGAAGAAGCAGAGAGTAAAGTAATCAGCATGTGTACGGGTATATCATGGAGAGAGAAGAGAGAAGCACCGTCAATATACAAATTGCCCCTTTCATAGTGGTGTGGTATTGATATGCAAAACCGCAGACCCCACCGTATCCTAGTGCCATCGGGGTCTCCCCGTCCTCACCGGTGCGCTCAGCCTCATATGCAGCATTCAACCGGGTTGACCCTCACACTCACAGCGCTCTCTCTCTCTCTCTCTCTCTCTTCCCCTCTCTCCAACTCTCCCTTCGTCCTCCTCACTCTCACAACCGCCTCTCTTCTTGCCAACTCGCACGTGTCGTCGTCCTCTTTCAGAATGGACTGGCTAGGCTATGCAAAGATCGACTTCACGCACGCGCCGGCCCCGCGCCCGATCCGGTCCAAGGACGGCACGCAGACCGACCTGCTCAAGATTGTCGAGCAGGCCACGCCTCCCTGCCAGCTGAACCCTCTGCTGTTCAACGGCCACCTGCAGACGATGTGGACGGCGACGAAGCCTCACGGGCCGTCGGTCTACTACCGTCGCCGCCTGTTCGAGGCCGAGGACCCGGCCTACGAGGGCAGCTTCGCCGTCGACTTTGCCGTCCCTCCGCACGACGAGGTGGACGAGACGCTGTCCCGACGCACCGTCTACTTCACCGACGAGCAGTGGGCCGGCCTGCCGTCGGACGACTCGAAGCCCATGCTCGTCGTCCTGCACGGCCTGTCCGGGGGCTCCCACGAGATCTACCTGCGCCACTGCATCGCGCCGCTCATGGGGGAGGGCGGCTGGGAGGTCTGTGTGGTGAATGCGCGCGGGTGCGCGAAGAGCAGGTTCAGCAGCGGGGTGCTGTACAACGCTCGGGCTACCTGGGATGCCAGGCAGGTCATCAAGTTCCTCTCCAAGACGTTCCCCAACAGACCCCTCTTCGGCCTGGGCTTCTCCCTGGGCGCCAACATGCTCACCAACGTGAGTGCTTGACCGAGAAGAAGGAAGGGGGAGACTGCTGACATTCCGACCAGTACTGTGGTGAAGAAGGATCGGACTGCCTGCTCAAGGCCGCGGTCGTGTGCTCTAACCCCTTCAACCTCGAAGTGTCGAGCAAGATGATGCAGAGCCGCTACTTCAGCAGGGAGGTCTACCTCCGCGTCATGGGGACCGGTATGAAGAAGCTCATCGCCTCTCACAGGGAGGACCTGGAGAAGCACGAGACCAGGCTCGACTTTGATGCCCTGGAGAAGGTCACCTACCTTCACGAGTTCGACCGTCTGATCCAGTAGGTCGCCGTCCCTCCCTCCCCCCCCCCCCGACGCCGATGGACAGCTGCTGAGACGGACGCACAGGGTCCCCTGCTGGGGATATCCCACCGAGTACGCCTACTACCGTGACGCCTCGTCCTCGGACGCCATCACGTCCATCCGGATCCCGTTCCTGGCCATCTCGGCCACCGACGACCCCATCGCCGTCAAGGAGGCCATCCCGTTCGAGGAGTTTGAGCAGAACCCCAACACGGTCCTGCTGACCACATCCCTGGGCGGCCACCTGTGCTGGTTCGAGTACGGCGGCACGCGGTGGTACACGCGTCCCGTCGACAACTTCCTCAACCACATGGCCTTTGAGACTGACCTGGCCGGCCTGGACCCCAGCGAGGAACCGACCGTGTCCGGGAACGAGGCTAGGCGGACGCAGTTTGACCCGATGCGTCGCAAGATGGCCATGTCGGGGACGTCTTAGTACGATTTGCTCTATCTCTTGTGTTCGGAGAGAAGAAGAAGAAGACATGGAATATAGAACATGGGTAGACAAAATCGAGGGAGAGAATATAAAAAAAAGAGCTCGCTTTCTCTTGAAAAATGCTACAGAAGAATGGAGAAGAAGAGGGAGAAAATGTCAAGATGGTATATAATCATAAATCCCATATTATATATATATATATATAACCAGATGAGAACGAGGCAAAAAAAAATTAAAAAATTAAAAAAAAAAAAAAAACCGTAGATGTAAAAAAGAACTCCCAAGCGCCCAGCCATATGCCTTCTCTCCGCCGTGCCCTCCCTCTTCCTTTTCCCCTCCCTTCTCTTCTTCACTTCCACTGCCTGCTAAGCAAACGACACGCTCTTCTTCTTCTTGGGCTTGACAGCCTTTGTGCCGGTCGAGGAGACGTCCGTGAAGGCGTCGTCGTCGCCGCCGTCACCGCCGGCCTTGCGCTTGCGCTTCTTCCTCAGCGAATCCTTGACGCCTTCGAGCTTGGATTTCCTCTCGCTCTCCTTCTGCTCGGCCTCGGCCTTGCGCGCCTCGCGAATCTCCTCCATCTGTCGGGCCCTTGCCATCTTGGACTCGATCTGGCCTTCCTTTTCGGCCTGGACGATGGACAGAATCGTATTCATGCTCTCCTAGAATTTTGTTTTTTCAGAGTCAGCTACTGTTTCACCCTCGAAATATATGTGTCTGCAGAAGAGGAGGTTGAATACCTTGTCATCGACAAACACCTTGCCCTTCTTCTTCCCGGGAGGCTTGACAACGCCGACGGGAGTGATCTTGTTGAGGGTGGGGATGCCCAGCTCCTCCTCGGTATAGACCTTCTTCCTATGCTTCTTGGGCATGTTGGCCGGATTCTTCCCGCTGACCTGGACGGCTGTGGCGGGACCTTTTCTGGACCGGCCACCACCACCACCGCCGCCGCCGCCGCCGCCGCTGCTGCTGCGCGACGAGGGTTTGGACTTGGAGATGCCGCCGCCAGACTTTTCCGACCTGCTCGGGCCGGCATTCTTGTTCTTCATCGTTCGCGTGCGTGAGGGAGCCATGGCGCCGACTGTGCTTGTGTGCTTCGCGACACACACACAGACACACACACGATGTGCTGATCGAGGTTGGGTTGAGGTGGAATGGAGGAAGAGGAGATTGTACGAGCTACGTGCGATGTAGCTGGGCTCGCTGTGATGGATCTGTTTGTCTGTCTGTAGGAAATTTTCTGGAGATTTTTTTTTTTTTCTCTCTTTTCTTTTTCTTCATTTCTGTAGCGATAACGGATTTCCTTGGAGGGGCGATAAGAAGATTTATTGTGGGGAATATGTACATGTACATAAACGAGCATACGGAGCAGGTGTAGGGGGTAGGTGCAGAGTACATGCATGTAAGGTGACTGCCGCGTAGCAGCATCGATACAGACAGAGAACAGAGGTGGCTGCTATGAGACATCAGGTGAAGTTGGCATCACTAGCAGTACTATTACGGGTAGCATCATGGACGATACAACCCTGGTCAGGTGTGGTGGGAGTACTGCTAGCAGGGCATATAGAATCTCGAGCATGACAGTTACAAGAGTGAGACGGAAAAGAAGAGAAGAGAAGGGTGAGAGGTGGAGTTGGTGTGGATGGTGGATTGGGGGAGTCAGCCACTGTGCGGTATTTCAGCCACATTATTCCATCATGGTCAGCCAGATATTCCATCAGCCACAATCTCCACTCTCCCATCTGGTACGAGGAGTATTACGTTAATCCCACCACTGACAGATGATTTAACAAGATGGCATAGGAAGAAGGAAAGAGAGGAAGAAAGAAGAAAAGAGGTGAAGAAGAAGGAGAAGGAGAAGGAGAAAGAAGACTGGAGCATCATGCGGTGGTGATGCCGATGTGTGAGCAGCGGAGTGAAGCGATCGAGTACGACGAGTACGACAGTGTTGATCAGTACGGATAACCGGTATAATGTGCAGTGAGTAGTATCATGACCTGTCCCGTAGCACTTGCAGATTTGCACTCGCAGATTCGCACCCGTACGCATGCAGATCGTGCTCGTGATGGTGCTGGTAGTTAGGCTGCTTCTAGACTTCTGAACTCCGGTACGGATCGGATGATGGTATGTCTCACTACGGGCATCACCGCCTACGCTCGTCCATACTGATCTCGTACTTGCGGTACCTCGTGGCCAAGGTGCCTAGACAGCAGACGCCTATCGTGCCTGAAACCCCATTCCCTTCTCCGGGTCATCTGCAACCAACCAGATGGCGACGACGGTGACCACCATTCAGTGAACTCTCTCTCTCTCTCTCTCTCTCTCACTCTCTCTCTCACTCTCTCTCTCTATGCCTGCAATCTTCTACCGACCACCCACACCCACACCCACACCCACACCCACCCACCCGCACACGCACCACCCACACACCACCCACACCACAAACCTCCTCCGTCACCCTCACGCTCAACTCACCCTCCGTCCTCGACACGCACCAGGCACCCGACAATCACAGCATCTCACATCTCGCATCCCACATCCGTCGCATCTGTACTCCAAGTCGCCACCACCCACATAACGTCTCCGCTCCAATTCTCTCATACCTGCCCACTCTCACGCCCACACCCACCCTCGACTCATCGCCTCCGAACAAAGCAGCAGCAGCAGCAGCAGCAGCAGCAGCAGCAGCAGCCAGGAAAAAAAAATTTTATATGAGGAAGCAGAGCAAAAAAAACCTTCCCGGCACATCTTTGACAGCCTCACAGTCATCTGCTATACGGCCAGCCTTCTCATCCCCCTCCCGACCGTCTTCACCTCTCCTCGCCTACCATCATCACTGCTGATCCCGTCCGAGTAAACCTCCGCCGACCCGGGAAAAAAAAAAAAAAAAGGGCTAGAGATACATCACGCACCAAGACGCACAAGGGCTTCACACCAACTGCCACTGCTCTCTCCTCCTCCCTCCTCCTCCTCCTCCTCCTCCTCCGCCGCCGCCGCACTTCTCGATCTCTTTTCTTCTCGCTCGCTCTCCAGTCCGTCCTCGTCGCCAGTCCACCTCGTCTCCCTATCTCGATCTCACTCCAGATCCGCGACGTTCTGAGCCCCACCCGCGAGCAGTCGCCCTCCCCCTCCCCCCCCCCCCCCCCCCCCCCCAAGAAAAAAAAAATTTCCTGCTCGCTCCAACCGACGATATCCTCCGGGACTCAACGACTAATCCGTCTTCATGGAGAACCTATGGACCCGTCGGACAAAGTAAGCCTTTTACCTCTTCTCTACTGCGAAGAGGATGGAGAGAGAAAGAGAGAGAGAGAGAGAAGGAACTGAGAAGAGTCGAGGGAGGAGACGGGAAAGAACGAGAAGAAGAAAAAGTACTGACTCCCACCCTCCTCCTTAGCAACAATAAGCTCTCGCTATCGACAACGTCTGATGGGATCGGATCCGGCACCGAATCGTCCCGTAACACCTCCTTCTCAAAACGCCAGGGCGGCGACGGCCCCTCCCACCTCAGATCCAACCCCTCGGCCGGCGGTTCCACCACCCCGGGCGGCGGCAGTAGCTTGACGTCGCCCGGGGGAAGCATGTCGGGCGGCGCCTTTGGCCTGGGCTCCGGGGCGTTCGCCTCGTTCGGCTCGGCCAAGACGCCCAAGTCGACGGGAAACCCGTTTGAGGCCGCCATGACGCCGTCACCGGCCAGCGCCGCCGCCGCCAGGGAACCGTCCAAGTCGGCGAGCAGGGGTGGTGCCGGCGGCGGCACGTCCTCCGTCGCCGGGGCCAAGGGTGCCGGCTCCACCCCCGGCCCTCTGGTCGTCCACGCCCTCCGAGACGAGTGGACGTTCTGGTACCGACCACCCATATCCAAGGCCCACGGCTTCATCGAGTACGAGCACACCCTGCACCCCGTAGCCACGGCTCGCACCGTCGAGGACTTCTGGTCCGTCTACGCCCACCTCAAGAGGCCGTCGTCGCTGCCGGTCGTGTCCGACTACCACCTGTTCAAGAAGGATGTCCGCCCCATCTGGGAGGACGACATCAACCGCAAGGGGGGGAAGTGGGTCGTCCGCATGAAGAAGGGCGTCGCCGACCGCCTGTGGGAGGACCTCCTGCTCGCCCTCGTCGGGGACCAGTTTGGCGATGCGGGGGAGGACGTCTGCGGCGCCGTGCTGAGCGTCCGCAACGGGGAGGACATCCTGAGCATCTGGACCAGGACGGACGGCGGCCGCGTGCTCAAGATCCGGTATGCTTCCCTCCCCATCCCATCCCATCACATCATCCTCTCGAGTCTTGCCCCCTCCCCCGGTCGACGGTGCGACCTGCTGACACGACCGACAGCGAGACGATGAAGCACGTCCTCAACTTCCCCCCCAACACCCGCGTCGAGTTCAAGAGCCACGACTCGAGCATCCAGCAGCGCACCGCCATCGACGAGCAGCGTCGCGAGAAGGCAAACCAGCACCACGAGAAGCGTCAGACGAGGCAGGCTGAATAGCAGCACCGGTACGTGTCCCGCTACTACCCTCTCTGCCGAGGTGGAAAGACCACCATGGGCCTCGCTCGCGTATTCCTACGTCACGACGCCTGGTTCTTAATATATACACACAAAGACACACACACAACCCTTTCACCCGTCGCTACAAGTACCTCACTCTCGAACCTCGTCTTTCCTCTCTGTTTTTTTTCTTGTTTTTTTTCCGACTGTCCTCTTTCTTATATATGCGGGACAGACATATTTTATATTCCCCTCCTTTTTTTTATTTCTCTCCCCCACTCATACCCACCCGCTTTTGCCCCATCACTCGCATCAGGAGACTTTGTATAACTACTGGGTTAAACTCTTGTTTTCATCTTTGCCATTTTTTTTTCTTCTCTTTCTTCCTCTCTCAACCCACATCGGGTATAGGTATTGCTTTTCTTTTTTTGCGGAATCGTTGCTTTCATTTGGTATGAGGTTTTGTGGGGGGGGTTGGCAAGGTTTAGGGAAATGGTAGGGAGGTATAAAGGAAAAAGGAAAAAGGAGGGGTTTTTTTTTTCTATTTAGAAAAAACAAGAACGGAGAAGAGGGATGAGCAGAGAATAGTGTTGGTCTTTCTTTTTTTTTCCCTCTTGTCTCATCGTGTACTATTACATAGTATCAGACGGGGAAGCCGGAGTGTTGAATTTTTTTGCTGACATTTCCTGGAATATTGGAGTCTCGGCTTCTCACCTCTCTGGTGAAATAAGTATTCCATGGGCATGACAAAGGATATCTATATATATATATATAATATATATATATGTGTGTGTGCGTGTGTGCGTGTGTGTGTGTGTGTGTGTGTGTGTGTGTATAATATATATGTTGGGTAGTGTCTGCAAGAAAAAAAGATCAATCATGAATTCTAAATAAAATAAAAAACGGGTGTGTTATCGTTTTTTATTTTTATGTTTCTGAATCCCTCCACTACTTGTACAGTTTTTTTTTTTTACTCTCCTGTTCGTCATCTTTTATTTCGCGATTCTAAGAAGTAGTCTTGCCCTTGACAACCGTGGAAGGAGTACGTCGCCTCTCCCATATCTGGAGATAGGCCTCACCGAGGTACAGCATCTCGGGCTGTATATCGTCGACGAAGAGGTCCTGGCAGACGACCCATCGGCCGGTAGCCTTGTCCCTGACCTGGACCTTCCACGTCTTCTTCTCGTCCGCGGTGTCGGCGACGTCGTCCTTGAGCCGGACGGCCTCGTGCACGACGTTGGCGACCAGGTCGTACCAGATGGGCTCCGACGGCGGCGCGTGGGCCGGGTCGGGCTCGACGTAGGGGGACATGTCGAGGTTGCGGGGGTCGAAGTTGACGATGGTCGGGTTCCGCTCCGACACGAACTTGTTCTGGGAGAAGCGCTTGACGTGGAAGATGAGGAAGGGCGGCAGGGGGTGGAGGAGGCGGTAGCGCTTCCGCTGGGCGTGGTGCTCCTGCGTGCTGACGCCGTCGTACTTGGACAGGATGGACGGGAGGGGCACCTGGGGGATGATGTTGCGCTCCAGCTCGTCCTGGAACAAGGGGGCGTCGGGCAGGTCTAGGGTCAGGAGGAGGAAGCGGGCCACGTCGACGCGCAGCTCGGCCGCGTCCTCGAAGCGGAGGCGGTCACCGGCGCCGGTGCCGGCGCCGGTGCCGGTTCCGTCGCCGTCGCGAGCCGCGGTGATGGCCTGGGACTCCACTCTCAGCCTGCCCTGGAAGGTGCGCTGGATCATGGAGCTCCCCGGCTTCGTCTTGGACCCGCCCAGGCCGAGGTGGAGGTTGTTGAGGAACCAGGAGAGGAAGTCGGCCGGGTCGGACTGGGCCGTCAGCGTGAACCGCCTACCGGACCGGAGGGCCACCTCCTGCAGGAGCTCGTGGGGGGACACCTGGGCCTTGAAGGCGCGGGGGTTCCAGACCTTGCGCACCAGGGCGCTGCACCGGCGCACCAGCTCCGACCGGCCGGCCAGGTCCTCGAGCAGGAAGAAGTTGCGCAGCGGGCCGACGTGGGCCAGGGCCTGCACGACCACGTTGACGTAGTCGTTGTCCTTGATGTTGTTCATGCCCACGAAGCCGGGCGTGTACTCCTTGCCGGAGAGCGTGACGCTCCTCCTCTCGTCGGGCCGCGGCCTGTCCAGGGCCGCGGCCTCGGCCCTCGTGTACCGCGGGTCGGCCACGTACCGGATGTCGTCGAGGGCCTGGCTGCGCACCTCGTACCCCTCGGGCAGGACGTACACCCGCTGCGTCTCCAGGTTGATGTACACGTGGTGGTCCTCGTCCAGCGAGTGGAAGTACGCGTGCGACTTGGGCCCCCGGCCCTGGAAGTACCGCCCGCACACCAGGCACGCGTACACGTTGATGTTGCTCAGCGACACCGAGCACAGCTTCTCAAAGTCGAAGTCTAGCACGTTGCGGTCGATCGTGTCGAGGTACAGGTCCGCGTAGCCGTCTGTCGGTGCCGTCTGTCGGATCGGCCTCGGCCCCTGTCCGGCTGCGGCCGTCGTCCCGTCCGGCTCATCATCTCCGTCTTCGTCTTCGTCTTCGTCTTCGTCTTGGTCTGGTCGTTGATTTGGCAAGGATGACGATGCTTGTGCTGCTGTGTCCAGCGAGGGAGGAGGCGTCGCCGATTCCATTCGTGACTTCTTGGACGCCGGTGACGCCACGCCGCTGAGCGACTCTAGCGCCTCAGAGGCCTGGCGCTTGCTCATTTTGTCGAGGTGGAACGGAGGCTTGTCGGGGGCTGGGATGGATGTTTGATGTGGTATTGGAAGCCCTCGAGGTTGCCATGTGTCGTCAGATTGGGTCTGCCGTCTGGGCGCGACCAGCCGCGCTGGGACTTCTTTTGGGACTAGCGTCTCCTCTTTCTTTTTTCTTTTTTCTCTCTTTTTTTTTTTTTTTTTCTACCGTCCAAGTGTCTGCAGCATCTTGCAGGTTCGCCTACCCTAAAGGAGGCTGAACGTTGGATTCAGGATGTGGACGGTGTACTTCTAGTCGACATGTGTTGATCAATCTGTACATATCTTGCGAAGAAGGAGAAGAAAGTAATTCTTTCTGATTATCCTGGAGAATCTGAGTCATGCGCACTCGCGCTCGCTTGATCATCTACTCGTGTTGGCCTGGAGGACAGACACATCTACTAAGAGCAGCGACTTTATACCTCTGCCCAGATTATCAGGCAACATTTTTCCAACATGGAAAGAAGAAGAATCTATCCGTGCAAGTAAGATCAATGTAAAGACCGTTGGTATGGAGCTTGTAGAGTTCCGACCTGGCAAGGTAAGGTTACAGGGTCCCGGAAAACCCCCCCCCCTTCTCTGGACTTCCCCCGAGCGGGTCTCTTGCAGCCCGGAGTTTCTGAATCCACGGATGATGATGCTCTGCGCCGTCGGACTCGGACCTCCAGGTGTCAAAACTCAGTATGAGAAGACTGGAGGAAAAAGAGGAAGAGATAACATCGGCTGGCTTTTTTCCTCTCCCGAGGTGATCATGGGCAGGTCCCGGGAGGACTCTGGTGTCAATGAGTTAAGCAGCGGCTGCTTCGTACATGGTCGATATGCTCCATGCCGACTAACCCTAACCCTTACACGGAGCCTGTTGCGGGTGAGGAGGGAGGACCGGCTCTCCTACTCTCACACAGCCCTAGCCCTCCTCATGATTCGCGGAGCATCGCGGCGGCGGCCAGAGTGATGAGGTCCGAAATGTTTGGCGATCGACACAGCCTACGTCCAGCGAGTAAGGTACGTACATGCATGTATGCACCCGTAGAACCATCCATTACGTGGCGACATGGCGGCGGCGGCGGCGGGCGGCGGCGGCCAAAGCACAACCCTTTCTCTTCTTCCTTCCTTTGCCTACCATCATGGTGTCCTGGACCGTGATCCATGCTTTTTCCGAGTGCGCACGCGCTGCTATTGTCGGTGTGGGATGTCTCAGACACACGGGGCCATGCAATTCGCCCGAGACTGTCCAGGTCTTACCATTTGCTTTTGCGACATGGCGACCGGCCCCCCCTCACTTCCTAGCCGCACTTTATTGTAGTATAGCGTGCGTATGAGCTAGAGATGCAGGTTCTATGCTGAGCTGCATCCATTCGTTACGTGGATGACCGAGAGTCGATCGACGGCAGACATCGTGACGGCGTCTCCTGCACGGAAAATCCTCAACGGCTCACACCGCCTGGATTATTCTGTGGCAGTTGGACGTGGGGTTTCTCCGTCGAGCCGGACAGTGTCTCGTCGACAGTGGCCAGACGTCGGCATCGTCATCGTCCACGGTATCGAGCGGGGGAGGGGTTTATGTATGTCGTGCAGAGCGCAAGGGCAGCAGACACGTCACTTCCCATCCACGCCCATCTCCTTGCTCAGAGAAGAAGATGGAGCCAGATTGTTAGGGCCGAACCGGCCCGGGCTGGGCTGGGCTGGGCTGGGCAGGGCAGGGCTGGTCTCTTGTGCCGATGCGGCAGCGTCTCGTGATGATGCCGAGGGTACGGACTATGTATAGTGGGGACTATCATGATGTAATCTGGCAGCGTGGTATAATACCGTATACGTCGTATGTTGGGTCGAGTACGCCATGGAGAACCAGTAATGTGCACTGTCGCGTACTGCTAGTACAGAATGAGGAGAAACAAGGACAGGAGCCAGCTGAGCTTGGCACGATGTGAGAAGAAGAAGAAGAAGAAGAAGGAGAAGGAGAAGCGTCGAATGTGGGAAGAAGAGAAGAGCAGAATTGAACTGTCAGTCTCCGTAGGTAGGCTACGTACCTGATGCTTCCCTATTCGGGGAAGGAGCGCCCTTCCATCTGAGCTCCTTCCCAGCAACACACAGTCTCCCATTGTCCAGCGTCAGTTGAAGCCATCGATTGTCCTCATTAGCTCTCTATCGTTGATTGCATACACATGATGAGTTGCGACATATCGGTACCTGAATGCGACACTGGGGACCGTACTCTGTGCTAAAGCAACGCTACTCGTAGGCTGCAGTACATGTAGTAGCTCTTCACACCCTCTTAACCCCTCGTGTGCTGATGGGAAGGAAGCTTTACCTTGTCCGAAGAAAGCGAGACAGTGGTCTGATATGTAGTCTTGGATGGAGAGAGAACGGTATCCATACGGCTCGTACTACTCTACACCTGGGTCCAGCTTCTCGTGAGCGGGGCTGCTGCCGCATTAGATCCACACAGCAAGCGGGCATGGTTCTGACTGAGGGAGCGGGCAGACTCAAAGCTCCGTCTACTATTGTTACTCGTACTTACTTGTGGCTGATTCGTTTCTCTCCCTGCTCGAACTTTGAGATGGGGGGGGGGGGGGGGGGCGGGTTCCCGACTGCCTTGTATCCCTCTCCCTAGAGCAGTTTTCCGTATCAGTATATATTCACCAACTCTCTCCCCCTCTCAACTTCCTCCTTTCTCCCCCGCCCCCTCTCTCCCTTTCCATAACCACCACGGCAAGACTACTACTCCTCATCTCTTCCTATCAAACAATCTTTCTCTCTTCTTCTTCCCGAGAAAACAAAGATTCGCCATCATGGCCGGCATCAAGACCCTCATCACCTACCCCAAGTCCGCCAACTTCAAGGCCGACTACTACACGGCAACCCACCTGCCCCTCGTCAAGAAGACCTGGGGCCCCTCCGGCTTCATCAGCGCAGAGCTCCTCGACCACTCCAAAGACGACTCCTCCCCCTTCTCCTACAGCCTCATCATCACCTGGAAGGATGAGAACAGCCCCCGCGCCGCCTTTGCCGACCCCGCCACCAAGCAGGTCATCGACGACATCCCCAACTTCAGCTCCGAGAAGCCCACCATCTTCTCCGGTGCCGTCGTTCACCAGGTCTAGACATGTCTTGAAGAAGAAGACTGCCCCTGTTGATTAGAAAGGCTGGCCTATCTCCCGAGAGAGGGAGAGAGGGAGAGAGAGAGAGAGAGAAAACAGCTCTCTCGTATCGACTTCTTCTTCAAGCCCACCACAGGGGGGTGTTGGAACAATGGCTCATCAATGAAAAGAACAACAACAACACATCGTATCCTTGGTTTTCTGCCTGTAACAGAGGTACATCAAGTCCAACTATAGACTATTATGAATAACACGAACCTCCCTTTTTTCCCTCTGTGCAGCGTAACAGACCTCTCCGATACCGTCATCTTCAACGTCCATGTTTCCTGTCCCGATATCGACTAGACCAACTTGATGGCCACCACGCACATGCACACATGCACACACGCACGCTCACATCGTCTGTAGACTGAACTGTATCTTTTTTTGAGGTTTTTTATTTTATTTCATATTACTTATTCTACGTCCTCTTTGTCTAGATGCAGATTCCAACCTTTACCCAGCCATGATGGTATCCTGTGTCTCGTTGCGCAGGTCATCATCCTCGTCGTCGATAGGCGCCAGACTATCCATCTCCTGTAGCGTGTACTCGACAAGATAACTCTCGTCGACCAGCTCCTCCAGGCGCTTGTAGTGCCTCTCCGTATAGGCGCGTAGGGCGTGCAGCACGTCCTGGACGCTCTTCTGACCCCTGACCCCCCTGGCGGACAGGTTGGAGAACCTGGAGGCCGGGTAGCTGCGTACCAGGGTCCAGAGGATCCTCTGCGCCACCGGGGCCGTCCGGGCATTCGTGTTCCAGTCGCGTAGACGCAGGAGCAGGAGGAAGAGCTGGTCGTCCGACAGGGAGGCGAGCACGTCGTCCACGGCCCTGAGGCCGCACAAGCTGCCCTCGTCGGGGGGGCTCTTGGTCGTGACCGACGTGAAGAGGCCCAGCAGACGGCCGGGGTGGTTGAGCTGCAGCGCCAGCGTGATGGCTTCGCGGTACGAGCCGGCGTGGATGTGATTCTGCAGTTCCTGCTCCTGTTCGACGAGTTCCAGCGCTGCCTGGGATGCCGCAGCCTGCGTCTCCGTGCTGCTGTCGCGCCAGAACGTGACGGTCGAGTCGCCGCTGCCGGAGACGACCGTGTTGCTCTCGGGGTGAACGGCCAGAGCCCATACGCGGTCCTCGTGGTTGTCCAGAGTGCATTCGGCCTCGCCGCTGTTGGCGTCCCACACCTTGACTAGCCCGTCGCCGCCGGCGGTGGCAAACTGCACCTTGCGGTTCTTGCCTTCGCTGGGCATACCGAGCCACGCCGCCTTGAGGATGCTGTTCGAGTGGCCCTCAAAGGTGCGGATGCATGTGTAGTCTGATAGGCTCCACAGCTTGGCCGTCTTGTCTCCGCTGCCCGTGAGGATGAGCCCCTTGCTCGTCGCCGGGCCGTCCTCGCCCTGGACGCCGGGCATGCCCGGCGGCGAGAACTGCACTGTCCACACGCCGCGCCTGTGCCCGCGCAGGATGCCCTGCACCTCTCCCTCCTTTACTGACCACACCTTGACCGTCTTGTCTTGCGACGCCGAGGCGAACAGCAAGCCCGAGCTCTGCACGTTGATGGCGTTGATGTCCTTGTCGTGTGCCTTGCGCGTGTAGGCCGCGCGCGTACCTATCTTCTGGCCCTTCTCCTGCGCCTGACGCGGAATCTCCCACTTCTTGATCGTCTGGTCCTGCGAGCCCGTGATGAGGAAGGCTGGCGGGTTGTTGAGAGGGTCGGCGCGGGCCGCTGACGACTCCTGCGGCACTCCCTTCGGGAAGCCGACCGCTCCGATAGACTCGGCGTGGCCTGGGAACGACGCCCAGCATGTGTACGACTTGTTCTCCGCGTCCACCCGCCACACCTTGGCCGTGTTGTCCTTGGCGCCCGTGGCCACCCAGTGGCCGGACCAGTCGACGTCGAGGGAGATGACAATGTCGCCGTGGCCCTTGAGCAGTGCCATGTCCTGGCCGAAATGCGGTGTCGTTGAGGGTTCCCAAGCATGGGCCTCGCCCGCGGGCTGCTGCGACGCCGCCACCGACACTATGCGCACGTCCTCGGAGTTGGTGGCCAGCGCCATGAGCGAGCGGTCAGGCAGGAGGTAGCACATGTCGATGATCTCATCGTGGGTACCCGAAATTCGTCGCAGGGGCTCCGTCTGGGTGTGCAGGGAGGTGTCACTCTTGGTGGGCACCTGGTACAGGGCAAGCGTGTGGTCGACCTGGACGCACAGGACAAAGGGCATTCCGGTATGGTAGACGCCCGAGACGAAAGCCTCTTCCTCGCTGCGGGCGGGCTGCTTGCCGCTGAGCTCGCGTCCCGTGTCCGTGTCCCAGACACGGAAGCACCCGTTAGCGCCTGCCGACCAGGTCAGGTTGCCGTCGTCCACGAAGCCGGCAGCCTCGATCAGCTCCAGGCAGGGCACCACCTTGCGAATCTTCCACGACTTGGTATCCCACCAGATAAGCGTCTTATCCCTGCTTCCCGAGACTATGGCGTGCTGGGAAGGTGAATAGTCGAGGGCCTGCACATCCGACACGTGCGAGTCGAGGTTGGCGATGCACTTGCGCTTGTTGAGGTCCCACACCCGCACCTTTCCGTCCTGACTGCCAGACACCAGCCTGAAACCCTTGACTGTGCTGGTCTCAACATCGCCACCATCGTTCTCCTTCTGGGACCCGCGGGATCCCTTCTTGCTACCCTTGCGGCTGCTTGCTGCGGCATCCTCTGCCACCTCAAAGAAGTGCAGGGCCGAGACGAGAACCGACGGTCCACGGAACGTGTGCGTCACGTATCCACCGACAATGTCCCAGACCTTGATAGAGCCGTCCGTTCCACCCGTGGCCAGGAGCGTGCTGGTACGGTCGACAGCCAGCACGACAACAGGCGTCCCGTGGGGCTTGACGGTGCGCACGAGGACCGGTTCCAGCGAGTTGTCGGCCAAGCGTTTGAGGGCGAATATCCTCATGGAGAGGGACCTGGAGCACAGGATTATGTGAGAGGCCGAGGGGGTAAGCGTCAGCGTCGAGATGAGCTCTCCGTCGCCCTCAATCTGTCCCAGGTGACGTCCGGTGGCCGGCTCGGTGAGGATGGCGTCCTCGCCCATGGTGGTGGCTAGGACGCGCGCATCGTTGTCGATGGATACCGATCCACCGGTAAAGATCGGTCGTAGAACTTTATCGACGTCAAAGGTCGTCTTCAATGGCTGCTTGGTTGCCATTTTATGTGGATTGGGGAGGGGTTATTGTTTTCCCTTGTAAGTAGGAGGTCCAACAGACACTCGGAAGTGATATCTAGAATTTTTTTTTAGCGGTTCCTTCCCTTTGCGACGCGGAATAGGTTCCGCTGCTACTCTCTCTTCCGCGCATGACTAATCATACAACGGGGAGCTCAACCACCTCGACATCGACGGCGGACAACAACTATTGCATCATCGCCATCAAACAACCGACTTTGTTCGTTTACTTGAAAGTCGAAAAAATTTAGTGCCAGAGTCGAATGAGACTCCGATCATGGGGCTTCAGGGCCCGCTGACCGCGCAGGCTCTGGTGGGCTCTCACCCTCCCTCTCCTTGGTTCTATTGAATGTGTGTATACTGACGCCTGATGGAAGGGCCGATCGCCTTACGACGACGTCGTCATCGGCGGCCCAGAGGATGGCGCCACGCCGTCGCAGATATACGACCATCGTGGTCGTCCAATGAACCCGCGATCAAAGCAGATCAATCGCAGTATAATCAGAGCCCATAATGAGGTCATGCACGTTGTCGGGGTGGCAGAGCCTGACAACCCTCATGACCCCGACGAGTACGAGTCTAAGCGGCAGCACAGCGAGTATGAGACTGCGATTGGTCTGAGACTAATCTGGGCGACCAAGAGATGCATCGGCATGGTTGGAGCGCTTGGACTTAACGGTTTCAGGCAAAGAGTTCTCGTGCGTCGTCTCATCTCCCCCCCCCCCCCCCCGGGTGCCTCTGAATAACCCCTGACCATATGTGCAGGTATATGAAGATTATTCTCGGACTCCATGCTGGGACCTCTACCAAAATGCACAGAGAAACTTCTCTTTTGCAGGTTCCATGCTCCCCGGTGCCCACGCCTACATGCTGGCCGAGTATATTGAACGAAACTGGAACCCTCAATGGTCCTCTCTCAGGGACAGAAGCGTCGTCAAGGAATAGTCAGTACTATCCACTATCTTGATACCCCATGATTCCTTCTATACATTTCTGACGCAAAACAGCGTCGGCTATGCCTGGAGCTACGTGACCATTCACCTGCAGCTGTACTCTTGTCTGCAGCGCCTGGGACTCATCAGCAGCACTCAGCTGCTCCCATCCTGGAGATTCCTTGTACCCTTTACGCAGGAGTCTCTGATCCCAGCACCACCTCCTCTAGAGGACTTCACTCCCCGGGCGCTGTTGAAGTGGGCCAGCGGCGCTGTGATATCGGTAGCGCCCCTCCTTGTGTGGACCGCGACGCGGCGATTGACCCAGCAATGGCGATTCCGCACCTGGCAACGGATCTTCACACACATCCCCAACCCGATAATAGGGGGCCAGGAAATCCTCACGCTGGACGACATGTCCGAGCCATCAGATGACTCGGGCGAGGACCTGCCCATGCCGTCCACTTCACAAGCTACAGAAGGGCAAGGGGTCCGACAAGAACGAGAACAGATGAGCGGCGATGGCATCGGCAACCACGACGACGGTGTCTCGCCCCAGTCCACCTCGGAGGAAGAGCAGGGGGGTTCTTCGTCGCAGGCTGACACGGGCGCTCACACATCGGCTGACGACTACGGCAGCGACGACGACGACGGCGACGAAAACGAGGGCGTCAGCGCTACCCTCATCAGCTTTGACGTCGAGGCCACCGAGGCCACCGAGGTGCCCCAGGGCATGTGGTCGGCAGAGCTGCGGTCCAGCACCGGGCCCGACGCGCGCTCCGGCTCATCCGCACCCACGTACCTGTCCACCATGCTCACGCGCCTTCCCGCCCTGACGGCCGCCAACATTGCCACGGACCGCATCGTCCGGCTCCTCACGGCCCCGCACGAGGCCATGACCCTTCGTCTCGTCGCTCGCGTCTTCTGCGCTCAGCACGGACTGCCATGCGACGACGTCATATTCGGCTTTGGCCTGCTCTCCGGCTTAAATGCCACCTGGCTGCTCAACTTCTTCTGGACCGAGCTGACTCACTTCGCCCTCTCGGCAGAGATATGGTCCGTCTTCACAATCATCGCACAGTATTTCCACAAGTCGGAGAAGGAGTGGGAGGATTTTGACAGCAAGGATTGGGGAGACCTCGGCCCATTCAAAGATGATGAACCTATCTGTTGGGGTTGAAGAACCTTTCTTTTTCCCCTTGTCATTGTCATTGTAGCATTGTAGATATATATACCATACTTTTTTTCATTCTTGAAAAAAAAATGCCCCCTTCAATTCATTTTTTACTCATATAACTAATTCTATTTCAAACCTCTTCTAATCGTGATATATGAAAGACACACTCCCCCGAGAAAGACAGACGCCCAGATTCCAACCCTATTAACAAAAAAAGATGGAAAAGTCGAACAAGGAAGAGAAGGAAGAAGAAGAAAGATAAACAAGAGAGATGAAAACATGTCATGCTCCATTACGGTATACCTGCGCACCTTGGTTCCTAAACATGATTGTATCCCTCCTCTGCATGATCATGAGAGCCCTGTTGAGCGACTGCTCGCTGTACCCCTTACCCTCGACCATCTCGCGACGGAGCGTGGCGAGGCTCGTGCTCCATCCGATGGGAAGTCTCCTGCGCAGCTCGGCCTCGACGCGGTGGACCTCCTCGTTCAGCTCGCGGCTTCCCTGGCTGCCGCCCTGGTTGACGGCGTCCATGGTGGAGCAGAGGAAGAGGCGGATGGCCTCGTCCACGTGGGCCTCCGTGGCGATGGGCGACAGCGTCAGCTTGGCCAGGGACTCGGTGATGCGCACGATAGCCTCGAGCTGGCGGATCGTGATGGGAATCGAGGACCGCGTGTTGGCTTCCATCTCCGTCGCGTGGACCTGACGGCGGATCGAGACGAAGTGCGACGACAGCTTCTCCGACGCTTCGGGGCTCAGGCGCGGTGCGCATCGGCTGCAAGGGTGCGTGTCAGCAAGGTCAGAAGCGGGAAGGGAGGAGGGAGGAGGGATGATGGAGGGGAAGGCAAGGAAAGCTTACGTCTTGCAGTAGGTCAGGTATCGGCGCATCTTGTCGACGGAAATCTCACTCTCCTCCATCTCGTCGGGTCCACGGTTGTCAGCGTGCAGGTTCAGGACGTGCTTGGCCATGATCTCGTCCTTTTCGCGGCTGTGCTCGTCCTTGACGATGAAGATCATGTCGAAACGTGACAGGATGGTTGTCTGGAAGTCAATGTTCTCGCCGGGCGTCTTCATGTCATCGTAGCGGCCAAAGATGGGGTTGGCGGCCGCCAGCACCGACGTCCTGGCGTTGAGAATGGTGGTGATGCCGGCCTTGGCGATCGAGATGGTCTGCTGCTCCATTGCCTCGTGGATGGCGACACGGTCCTCGTCGCGCATCTTGTCAAATTCGTCGATACACACCACGCCGCCGTCGGCGAGGACCATGGCACCGCCCTCAAGGTAGAACTCGCGGGTCGAGGCGTCACGCTGCACAGAGGCCGTCAGACCAGCCGCCGACGAGCCCTTTCCGGACGTGTAGATGGAGATCGGGGCCGCTTTCTCGACAAACTTGAGCAGTTGCGACTTGGCTGTACCGGGGTCGCCGAGAAGCAGGACGTTGATGTCACCTCGCAGCTTCATGCCATCAGGGAGGATCTTCTTGGAGCCACCCAGCAGGAGACACAGGATGGCCTTCTTGATGTCGCGGTTGCCGTAGATGGAGGGCGCGATGCAGTCGGCCATGATGCTGTACAGGTCCGGCCGGCGGCTGAGCTCGAGGAACTCCTGCTCCTCCTCCTCGGTGTAGCTGGCGCTTCCCTTGGCGGTCTGGTCGAGGTTGGTGTGGATGCCCACGGCGCGCAGGTAAGGTGTGCGGATGGCGACGGCACCGGTCGTCGACGACTTCTTAGACCCCTTGCTCTGGTATATGGAGAAGATGCCCATGATGGTGCACCGCGAGCCGGGGACTACACGGTTCGTGAGATATCGATCGGCCGAGACGAGCACGTGTCGCGGCAGCTCACCGACGGGGATCTGGTCGGGGGCCTCCTGCAGCTTGATGATCTGCTGGTCGACGAACCGCGACTTCTCGTGCATGACAAAGTACGGGTCGAGCGGGCATTGGGGTGTGGGGTCGTTGGGAGTACGGGCGCGGTCGCACGTGCGGGGGAGGGTGACGCCGGTGAAGCCACCGAGCACGGGTATCGTCTTCTGATGCTGGCAGTTGCGACACTGGATATGCAGCTCAATGGCCTTGGAAGACATGACGGAGGCGCCGATGACGATCCCGGGGACGCGCACCAGCCTGGAAATTATCATGGAGTCAAGGTTGCGGATCGAGATATCTTCGGCGTCGGAGTGGAGGAGGAGCTGGTGATCAGGGATGTGCACCTGGGGCTCGTGGGGGAAGAGGATGCGGCGTGTGCACTTTTTCAGAGCGCCCTCGAACTGGATTCGCCAAGACAAACCGGTGTCAGATCTCCATAGGACGAGAGCTCATAGCCAGGAAGAAAGGGCGACTCACCAAGGGTATCATCTCGGCAGGCTCTGAGGCCAGCTTGTGTGCCAACTCTTCATTGTAGGAGATTAGGTCGCCAATGTTGACGTCACAGAAGTACTTTTTGAGGAGAGCATTCTCCTTTAGCTGATCTCTGTTGTTCTCGTCAGAGCGTTACATCCATCATGCGTATACACAGGTGCACAGGTAGTGCAGCATGGAGGTGACCAACCTGTAGATGTAGTGGTTGTCTATTCTGAAGCCCAACACAAAGGCCTCGAGTTGGGCCTGAAGCTGAATGCGAGTATCGGAACTGTCGTCGAAGTTTGACGCAAATGTGCGCGCCGTGTAGATGGACTGTGAATCCATGGCTGGCAGCTTCTGAGATGTGCGATGCTGCTGTCGATGGGGTGTTGTAAAGATATAAAGGCCGATGGACGACTTGGCTGGAGGGGGGGGGGGGGGGGAACGACGATGCTGCCAGGGAGGATTTGAGGGGTTCCAGTTTAGGAAGCGCGACGCGCGACGCGTAAAAGGGAAAGGACGCGTCGCTAGTAAAGAGGTTGCATAGGAGCCATTCCTGATTCGGACTGATATGAAAGCGTCACGTGCTTGATTCGAGTACGGGCCGGAACAGCTTGTGTCTTTCCTAACTTGGTAGGTATCATGAATTTTCCATGTTATGATTGATTGGTTAATTAGGTAGTATTGATAGTATTAGGAGTATTTCTCATCAGTACTCATAGAAACTGATACTCTGTAAAGGATAATATGATGTTTAGGAGCTCATAGTGTGTAAGTGTTGTATTTCCTTAGATGGCAACGACTTCTACGTCTTGCGTATCACGATTGCTACCCAAATTAAGAGGAGCGTGACGTCGGCTACCAAGTTTCTCCGTGGTCTCAAAATCAAGTTTATCTGATCCACGATGCATTCTTCTACTTTAGATGATTACAAGAGCAATCACTGCAATGATTCGATATTGTCTTAGTCGCTGACTTGACATCCAACGGCGCTGCTCCGTAGAGTCCGACGTAGCGATACGACGACATTGACCAATGATATCTTCAGATGTAGCTTACGTTACCCATTCGAGAGCCCCACAAAGGGGCAGAGGTGTCCAACAGCCAACAGTCAAAGGCGAGAGAAGCAACAGAGCGTCGTCTGGACAAGAAGGAAAGCTTACGTAGCTTGTTGCTTATTAACGTCCAGATGTTGATTGTTCATGAGCTAGATTTCGTTCTGTCAATTTTTCCCTGATATCCCCCCCCCCTGCTCCCCTCATATTGTCTCTAGCAAGGAAAGAGAGACCTCTGACCATCTCTTGGAGATGAGCGCGCGGTAGTGCCTTACACCAACAAGCCGTCAACTCCCGTTGTCGGCCATCTACAAGCCCCATCCTCCAACCTTTGTGACCTCGGTCCAGGCGGCGCCCACCATGTTCTCTACATCCAACGCCGGACGCTCGGCCGACAACCTATCTGCCCTATCACCGGCAGCTCGCCATGAAGTGCCCCTTCACAGGTGATTCCGCCCTTCTAGTCCCCTTGGGCGCATTGCGACCACATCACTGACAAGCAGTCACGCTCAGCACCCGGAGACGACCCAGCTCGAGAAGGAGCTCGACTACCGATTCGGTCCTCTCGATGCCCGGCGCACTGGATGCCCCCTCCGGAAGCAGAGCCCACATCGTCCAGGAATCTGGGCAGAATGGTGTGTTCTCATCTCCAACACGTCCCGTCTCATCCGCGCTGCCTTGCTCACACATCTTGGGTCACGTATAGCCATCTCGACACTTCTCCAACCGCCGATAGTCCGAACCGGCCTCCAACCGCACTCTGCAGCGCCCTTGTCGAGTGCGCACAAGCCGCCGACGGCCAGAGATATCCCCCCGGTAACCCTCACCAACATTACAACCGTCGATGCATCCGAGTTCGCCCCCTACCTGGCCCAGTTCGGGACTCTGTACGAGCAGCTACGACGTGTCAAGGAGAGTGAGGCAGAGGCCACTTCGGTGTGGCGAGGCGGCAGGCATCAGGGCGAGCAGCAGACCGAATCGACGCCGGCTGGCAACGATGGCCTCCTGCGTCCGGGGCTGGGCTCGTCCCGTCGACCGCGAAAGGGGTCAAACGCCTCCCTGTCGTCCATCAACTCGATCGAGGCGCCCAGCCCGTCGCGGCGGTCGAGCTCGCAATCCGTCTCGCGCAAGGCCGCCGCGCAGGGTCCGCCGCCCCTATCGACCATACCGAACGTATATTTTGAGGAGGACTTTCACCTCGAGAATCCCCGAACGTTTGACGTCGTCAGCGAAAAGTCCGAGGTGATCGGTCCGTCGCAGACCATGCTGGACGGCAAGGGGGAGGGCAACGGCGCTGTCGTCGCCGCGGTGCCCAGGAGGGCCCTCGCGACGAATGCGATTCTTCAGGAGAAGCTGTCGTGGTACATGGACACAATCGAGGTGCACCTCATCAACTCCATCTCGACGGCCTCGACCACCTTCTTCACCGCACTCGGTTCCCTCAAGGTACTGCACTCGGCTGCCGCCGACTCCGTGCATAGGATCAAGGCCCTCAGGATGGAGCTCGAGGCCCTGGACGAGGAGATTGTCACTTCCGGTCTCGACATCCTGCACAAGCGGCAGCGCCAGGAGAACCTGCGGCAGCTCAGCGACGCCGTCCTGCAGCTGAAGCGCATCGTCGACGGCGTGGCCGCCTGCGAGGCCCTGGTCGACGAGGGAGAGGTAGAGAAGGCGCTGGAGAGGATTGACGACCTGGAGATGCTGATCGCCGGCGAACGCGAGGACGATGCCGAACCCGCCCCCGACGCCCCTCAGCTGCGCAACCTCCAGGGTGCTGCCTCGCTACGAGGGGTCAATGCCGATATCATGACGTTGCGGTTCCGCATCGGGAACATGTACGAAAACCAATTCGCCAGCGTGCTGCTGGGCGACCTCAAGGGCCACGTCGACTCTGTGCCGCTACCGGAGGTGCTTCTACGGTGGAGCCACGCTGCGACGAGGGGCAAGGGCGGCCATAACCGGACATCTACGGTCTTCCCCAGCTACCTGTCCAACACGGAAGAACTGAAGAAGCAGCTCACGCCGGCCATGGTCGGCCTGCACCGGGCTCACTACCTGGCCGCGGCGGCCATGGCGTATCGCGAGACGGTGCTGCGTGAGATTCGAGGCCTCATCCGCCGGCCGCTACCGAGCTCCAGCGATGACGACAACGAGTCGATGGTGTCGGTATCGACGGCGGCCAGCGGGAGGGGCCGATCGGGCCAGGAGAAGTCTACGATACTGGCGCGCAACCTGCGGGCCCTGGGCCCCGACGAGGCCGAGGCGCTCCTGTCGACCATCTACGTCGGGGTGACGGAGACGCTGCGGCGGCTGACGACCCAGAACAAGATGCTTCTCGACGTCGCCAGCTCGCTGACGGAGACGGAGACTAACAGCGGCATCAGATCGCCGTCGCTCCGATCGCCGCTGGCCAGCCCGCAGCCCGAGCGGTACGGAAACGTGAACCCGTTCTCGTCCGGGTTCGAGCTGCAGGAGGAGATGCACAAGTCCCTCGACGTGGCCAACCTGCTCGGCCAGGCCGTCGACGTGGCCAACGAGAAGGTGGTCAAGGTGCTGAGGGTGCGGTCGGAGCAGGTGGCCAACCTGCCGCTGGACTTCTTCCTCCGCTACTTCACGCTCAACCTGTACTTTGCCAACGAGTGCGAGGCCATTTCGGGCCGGAGCGGCACGCCGCTCAAGAACGTGGTCAACGGGCACATCAAGGAGTTTGTGCAGCGCACGCGCGACACGGAGATGCAGAAGCTCGCCCAGGGGATGGAGTCGGACCGGTGGAACGTGCGGGACTTTGACGAGGGCAGCGCCAAGCTCCTCGGGGAGATTGTCGAGTCGAGCACGCACGACTGCGAGGCATGGCTGGAGCGCACAAGGCTCTGGGTGCCGTACCACGAGATCGAGAAGGCGGCGGCGGCGGCGGCGGCGGCAGCGGCGGGGCAGCAGGCGACGGCCACCGCCACGGCGGCAGCGGAGCCGGACGCCAAGGAGAAGACGCGCTCGGCGGCGATCGACTCGGAGAAGTTCATGCTGCCCAACTCGGCGGTGCTGTGCATGGAGGGCATAGCCAAGATGCTCCAGCTGATACTGGGGATCCCATCGATGACGTCGGACATCGCGTCGTCGCTGATCGCGTACCTGCAGCTCTTCAACTCGCGGTGCACGCAGCTCATACTGGGGGCGGGGGCCACGCGGTCGGCAGGTCTGGGCAGCATCACGTCCAAGCACCTGGCCCTCGCGTCGCAGGCCCTGGCCTTCATCTCGACGCTGATGCCGCACGTGCGCGAGTTCGTACGGCGGCACGCCGGGTCGGGGCCGGCCGTGTCGTCGCTGATGGGGGAGTTTGACAAGGTCCGCCGGCTGCTCCAGGAGCACCAGGACAGCATCCACCAGAAGCTGGTGGACATCATGAGCGGGCGAGCGGCCATCCGGGCTCGGGCCATGGACGGCATCGACTGGGACGCCCCCGCGACCGGAGCGGCCGCGCACGCGTACATGGAGACGCTGGTCAAGGAGACGAGCACGCTGCACCGGGTGCTCACGAAGCATCTACCCGACATGGCTATCCATATGATTATGGGGCCGGTGTTTGCCAGCTACAAGAGCCAGCTTGGGCAGGCACTGGAGAAGGCTGAGCCCAAGACGCCAGCTGGCAAGGTTAGGTATGTTGTTTCTTTCTTTCTTCCCCCCCCCCCCCCCCCCCCCCCCCCCCCCCCCCCCCCCCTCCCTCCTTCTGTAGCTTTCACCTTGTGTGTGTGTGTGTGTGTGTGTGTTTGTTCTTTTCTCTTTTCTTTCAAAATGGTTTTTTTCTCTCTCATGTTATCTCATCACCGTGGTTTTCTTCTCAAAAAACAAGAAGAAGAAAAGAAAAAGAGGCCGACTGACATTTGAAAATTTAGCATGTTGACCGACATCGACTTCCTCGTTACAAAATTAGGTCGCATCGCTGGCTTCGACGACACGGGTGATGTACTGGGTGACATAATCAAGGCAAAGGAAGTCGAGCAGCCTGCCCCTCCTCTTCCGACAAGGTCTAGAGAGAATGATGATGATGATGAAGAAGAAGAAGAAGAAGAGTCGGGCGAGTCAGGGGGAGATGGCAAGGGTGACAGACAAGGGACAGAGGAGAAGGAGGGCAAGTCCTCTTCGTCGGAATCGAGTAAAAATGAGGGAGCAAAGTCAGAGTAGACAGTGTTTGTCCCACGTATGAACTTCCTGTCCAAGGTGTTTTCTTCTTCTCCTTTTCTTCTCCCTGTTTTATATTCCCTTTTTTTTTTCTCTCTGCGGAGGGGGAGGACTCTTCTTCTTTCTTTTCATCGTCCTCCTCCCTTTCTATCTTGATGGAGAGAGTTGTCATGTATGTATAGTGAGCAAGGTAGACGGGGCGGGATAGAGAGGTCGATATCATGAACTGCTGCTATTCATGTGGATATGCGTGGTCTGCCTCTACGTCGCTGCGAGTTCTCTGTATCACGTATCTGGGAGGTGTTTACCACAGTGGCTACTCCTACTCATAGAACGGTATTCCATCTCCCTCAAGACTCTCTCGGCCGTACGAGTGAACCGACATGTCGATGGGTCGATGGGATGATGATGGTTGATGGTTATGCTTGTAGGTGGAATGATGATTATATAGTCGATATGCATATATATCATCTGTACATATACATATGATAGTCTGTATATATACATATGAATAATCTGTATATATGCATATATTGTTTGTATAGGCACCAGCAGATGCCGCATAATGGCTATTCCGGTCCTGAACTGAGCCTCAGGCCTCTATGGAGGAGGCATTACCCCAACTCCAACTCTGTATATACATATATATATATATATATGTATATATGTATATGTATAGATGTATACATCTACAGTCTCATCAGAGATTGACGGAAGATGGGACAAGAACAAGAATCAATACATCATACAACCGCCGCGGCCCTTTCTTCCTTCCAGGGGGCTGAACGCGCCTGCACCCGTATCCATCTACGATATATCATCCGCGCGTGTGCGCGAGAACGTACCAAGAGAAGTAAACAACACGTTTAAGAAAAAATAAAATAACACTTCTTTCCCCCCCTCCCTTCTTTTTCTCTTTCCATGCTTAGTTTACAAAGTAGTAGTAGTAGTAGTAGTAGTAGTAGTAGTAGTAGTAGTAGTAGTAGTAGTAGTAACAATAACAATACAAAATATGTAGTTGAATCTCTTGCAAGGCGACTCTCTTCTCACGTGCCCCTTCTCGGCATTGGTCTTCTGTTGTCCTATCCTCTATTCCTATGTCTATCTCATTGGAATAGAATAGTATTCATCAATCTGTACTCCCCCCCGTGATCTCTCTCTCTCTCTCTCTCTCACGAGTCACTTTCATACGCAGCCATGACGAACCCCCAACGCCCTTGCTAATCTCACTCACACATCTTGCACGCATGGCTGGTGCGAGTATCAATATTATATTGGTCCTACCCCCCCCCGTTTTGAAGGACTGAATGATGATGATACGTCTGATATCCTGTTCATCCCATCACTGTAATGGTCCGGCATTGGTTGTCCCCGGGAACCTGCTTGGTCTACAGATGATACAGGCTAAGGGTATATGTTATTTATTGTTTCGTGTTAATCGTAGACGACGTACGAGGATTCGTAAAAGAGCTTGCGTGGCCCTAATAATGTCAATTGGTCCGTGGGCAGCGGCAGCTGCAATGACAGCGGCAAAAAAAAAAAAAAAAGAGGAAAAAAAGGAAAGGAAAAAAAGGGGGGGAAGGGAAAAAAAAAAAAAAAAAAAGGTACGAGGACCCACCCCCTCTGGCGCAACTGACTCATTGAGTCCAACTGGGTAAGAGAATCTCATTGGCTCGATTCCTGTCTTTCCGTGACTTGCGACGAGTGTATATAATGTGATCCATGGACCATGGTCCACGTGTGTGTTGCGTGTACGGAGTAATAATAAATCAATAAATAATAATAACGACAAGAATGATAATATTATCATCATCACAATAAACATCGTTCAAGTCCACACTAAGAAGGTCGACGCTTTGTCTGTGCATACGCATGCATATGTATTTTGTCTGTTGTGTCTTAGCCAAAGATATATATTGTTGGTTTCGTCCTTCTTCCTTTGTCTTCCCCGTACGATATCACAGGTGCATCAGCTCCTTCTTCAAGGAGAGCCTTTGCTGTTGTGACGATCGATAGTTATACTTTTTAGGATGACTCTCTTCGTGATAGCAATATGTATATTTGCCAAGTCATCCTGAGGCAACAACCCCAGTACCGGGTTATCCCTTCTTCCGGCCGCATTTGGCAGCCTGATACAAAAACACTCGAACCTCTCTCTTTTTATCGTAGCCTATCGAATCCGTCATCATCGCAATTGTGGTTGCCAACGCGTATGCCATATCAGCTCCTGTAACCATGCCGTAGATCTCGGAGGCTAGAACGCTCCTCGTGACTCTCTTGCATTTTGTTGACGAATAGTGGATAACTATCACGATGAGAGTCATCCTAGAACAATACAACATATCGATCATCACAACAGCAAAGGCTCTCCTTAAAGAAGGAGCTGATGCACCTGTGATATCGTACGGGGAAGACAAGGGAAGGAGGACGAAACCAACACTGATCAGTGACCTCATTGTCATCCGCCAGTGTCGTCAGCGCTTTATTTGGCGTTGCTTTCGTCATCCCATCCGCCGGGTAGTCATTGCCGTTGATCCATCTGATCTCGTGTATTTCCTCCTTTTGATCTGACTGTGGCCAGGGAGGAAGTCAAGAAACAGTATGTTGAACAACGCGCCAGAGGGGCATACATCGCAACAGCCTGCCAACCAGAGGCATGCTTCGACTTATCGGTAGCTGCACAACACAGAGACCCTGCAGATGACGAAGTCAAGGCCCTCGACAAGAGAATCGAATGGCAGATCAACAACCAGGAAAGAGGACTCAAATTCATACCAGTAGGTCTCAAAACAGCAAGACTATTCGTCTTTGTTGACGGATCTTTGGCCAATAATGCCGATATAACCTCATAGATCGGCTTCCTGATCGTCCTAGCCAACGAGGACGAGAACGAAGATCAACGCACGTTCAAAGCCCGGGGCTGCATTATATGTGAGTATGTTTGCTAAGTCATCCTAAGGCAACAACCTCGGTCCCGGATTATCCCTTCTTCGGGTTGTATTTAGCTGTTTGATGCAAACAGAAACCAACACAAACATATATATAAAGAAAAAAGAAGAAAGAAAAAAGGAAAAAGAAAAAAAGGAAAAAGAAAAAAAGAAAAAAGGAAAAAAAGAAAAAAGAAAAAAGAAAAAAAGAAAAAAGAAAAAAGAAAAAAAGAAAAAGAAAAAAGAAGAAAGAAAAAAAAAAAAAGAGAAAAGAATAGAGAAAGAGGAGGGGAATGAACTGAAACTGAACTGAACCTTGTTCATTGTTACCTTTTCTCCCCCACTCCTGACAATTCAGTCGCATGTATCAATACTTAGACAACTCACTTTTTTTTTTTTTTTTAATATAACGTTTATTGTCATAGTGAATGGTTTTCTTCTTTAAAAAAAGAACAAGTCAGAGGAAAAAACAATAGGACAATAGGAAAACAATTGGACAATATGATTCACTCTACCCGTCTATAAATCCCCAAGGTTGTAGATGAAAAGTGGCAGAAAGAGGCCAAAAAAAAAAGATGAGAAAAAAAGAGGAAAAGAGAAATCTGCCTTTTGTGTAGCATTTAGATTTTTTTTTCTTTCTTTCAAAAGAAAAGAGGACCAAGTCTCTATAAGAGACCTCGGGAAGAAGAAGTATTTAAATATATGCAAGAAGTGTCAAAGCTGATCTCTCTTCCCCTCCCTCCCGCCTCCGTCCAGTAAACGAGTGTCTTTTTGAGGCTGAAAGGTTTCATGAAGAAGAAAAAGAGTGTGAATGAAACCTCTAGTTCTGACAAGGAGAGAAGAGAAGAAGAAAAGAAGAAGAAAAACCCAGTAAAACGAAGAAAAAAAAAAGTGGTCAAGAGAACTCAGTTCTAGGTAGGCCGTTGCACTCCGTAAAAGATCGTTATATATATACATATATATATATATATGGAAAAAAAAAAGGAAAGGGTGGGGGGGGGACACCGTCTTACAGACCGACGGAACCGGTACCGAGAGTGGTGATGAGGTGGTTCTCATCCGTAGACTTGGTCTGGACGTCGTCGGGCAGATAGTAGGCGTTGTTGCAGGGGAAGACCTCGCAGCCCGAGGTGGGCGACTGGGAGCTGGCGGGGAACATCTGCTTGACGTTGTCCTTGTCGTTGGGGTCGACGATGGCCGAGACGTCAAAGTACGTCAGGCCGAACTCGCCCGAGAAGCGGACCTCGCCGAGCATGCCGGGGACGTTCTGCTTGCCCTGCTGGACGGCGTAGAAGTTGCCGACGAAGTTGTCGGGCAGGCTGACCGTCTTGTTCTCCGACCCGTCGACCGTGACCGAGTCGACCGGGAAGCTGTTCTCGTTGCTGGTGAAGTAGACGGTGCGCGTGACGTTGTCCAGAGTCCAGAACGTCACCTGGTTGGCGCTGGCGAGAGCGACGGAGCCGGCGAGGGCGAGGAGGGCCTTGGAGAAGAACATGTCGGATGGTGTTTCTTCTTTTCGGGAAAGGGAGTGTAGTGTTTGTTGTCAAGTCTTGGGTTGAAGGAAGGTTGAGAGAGGCTAGGCCTGCTTGCGTGCGTGTGTGTGTGTGTATAAGAGAGCTCGACTTCCAAAGGAGCTTGTAGTGAAAAAGAGAGAGGGAAAAAAAGAGAGCGTGTGTGAAGGAAAGTGTTTGGACTGTTCAACAGACAAGAAAGGATCGTTGGTTTGTGTAGAGTTCAGAAGAGAGGGGAGGGGGGATGTGTCTCGGATGTGGGAGTCTGGCCCTTCTTTATAGACAAGCAGAAGAAGCAGAAGAAGCAGAAGAAACACTAGGCTTTGCAGCCTTGAGAGGTGAGAGACTCATACTAACTTAACTCCCTCTTTGTCGTGTCCCACACCTCCTCCGGAAACCCAAAAAGTATCTTTTTTTTTTTTTCAAAAAGGAAAAAAAAAAAAAGAAAAAAAGAACAAAGCATCCATATCATCTCATGTTGGAGGGCCACAAAGGGGGGGGGGGGGGGGGGGGGGGAAGACCTTGACAGCGACGCCGGAGCCGCCAACGGCCATCACCTCTTTCCTACCAAGTCTTTCCTTTCCCGTGACCCTAGTCATAGAAGATGATTGCTAGTCAAAGATCTCAGCCGGTCCAGATACACTGCAGAGTTGTACCAGGTACCAGCCCTGCCAAGCCCAAGGTACCCAACGAGGGAATCGGACCCTAGTCCCGCGCCCCCGGGACCCATCCCATACGCGACCAGTCTATAGTCATGCTCCGTCGATACGTCGTGTCGTGGGACCGCGGTTGACAGTTGTCGGGAGCAGACGACGCTGAGTCTGTAGAGGGGAGTAAGTACCTGCAGCATCAGCATGAGCAGTAGCAGTATCACCTGGGTCGTGGCTCGATTCGGTCCGTGTATCTTTCACGCGGTAATACGGCTCCTCTCAGGTCACCTTGCAAAGCTCATATACGCTCTCCGTCGCGAGTAGTACCCGTGTAATCTGTATAGGTAAGTATACCTCCCTACCTGCGTTCGTAGCTGGCATGTGATATAGCACGGTCCTTCCCCGGCGGCTCACCCACCCAACCTCTCTTCACACAGGACAGGGGAACGGGGGATGCCGTCATGGTTCCCTCCATGACCTTCATGACAAGGGACGATGACATCCTTTGTTCGTCTTCCTCCGCTCAAGGTTGACAGAGAATGAGTAAGTGGGAGAGAGAGTTTGGTTTGCTCCGAACGCCACCACCTCTATATATCTCTTGTCCTTTGGTCCTCTGATTCTTTTTCCTCACTCTCACTCTCACTCACACACACACTCTCTCTCTCTGTGTGTGTGTGTGTGTGTGTGTGCGTGCGATTTTAGGACATTACAATAGGTCACCGCAAGTAAGAATAAGAATGGATGGATGGATGAATATGAATGAATAAATGAAACTGAGTTTTTTCTTCTTTTTTTTCTGTTTCTTCTTATTAGCGGAAGGGTGGGGTGGGGGGGGGGGCCGCATACGCTAAGCTGACTTCAATAAAAAGTATTGGACTCTGCGGAAAAAAGGGACGGCGGGAGAGACGGACCCCTGAGGGGAAGGGGGAAGAGAGACCGTGCCCGATGGTGTGGCTTCAAGGTTTGCCAACCAGAGAAGCCCTTGCCCCTTGCCCTGTTCAGTCGATCCACTCCCGCTTTGCATCAGGTTCTGGTCATTGGCCCAGCTGGAAGGGGGGGAGGGGCCACGTCGTCGTCGTCGTCGTCGGTCGGACCCCCGGTCCAGTGCTTCCACACCTCTCTCTCTCTCTCTCTCTCTCTCTCTCTCTCTCCCTCTCTCTCTGCTTGTCTGACACCGGGACGCTCCCCTCGGTTGACAGAGTACTCTCGATTGAGCGAGCCCTCGACTGGCCCTGAACATGGGGGGGGGGGGGGGGGGGGGGGGGGGGGGCGCCGGAAGATGCGCCCAGGTATCCCGATTAGGCGCTTGCTTGCCATGACAGCGCAAAGGCCTTCCAAAACTCGGCTCAACCTGGTTGGTGTGCTGCTGGACTTTCGTCGGCCATGTGTCACCGAAAGAAGCAAGAGAGAGGAGAGGGAAGAGCCGTTGTGGGCCGACCGGCTGCTCTTTTTCTTTTTTTTCTGCCTTGCCTTGCCTTGCCTTGCCTCTTTCGGTCTAGAATCGCCTTGTTCCTTGCAGAGACTGCAGAGGACATGCGATTCAGGTACGGCCAGGACAGGCACCGGAGTGGCAGAGCCCAACGGGGAAAAGCGACGAGAACAGATCCTCTCGCCAAGGATCCTGTATGCGTGACAGAAATCATCGTGCGTGGCGTGCGCGGGTAGCAGCGCCTCCCTCGCACAGAACTCTCTGCCCAGCGCACCTGGATGTAACCTGTACATGGTATCATCATGTACCGACGACTATACGGTGTGATGCTGCTCGACAGATTTTTTTTTTTTTTTTTTTTGCAACGTGGTCCCTGTCGGCGATTCATCAATGACCGGTGTGCTTAGCCGTGCAGTCCCCTCAATCAGTTACCAGGGTCCCGCTAGTCTGGTCGGTACCTTGTTCGCTCGGCCTAGCTGTCCACGAGACAGACCTTCCGTACGGTCTGGTCAGTTGTAACCTGCGCATCAGAACGAGTAAGGCAGGACGGGATGCGCTGGGAATCGCAGACGATTGACTGCAAGGGGGGCTGCGATCGTATCCATATCTTCTTCTTACACGACATTGTGCCCTTGTCGCCGTCCGTCAGTCACATTGGTACCTGCCGATCGATCGTACAAGCTGTATTACTGCTGCCCCCCCCCCCCTGCTAGTAAAGCTGTAAGGCCGTGGCCCTGTTGCTCTCCCGAAGCGACAAGCCTGGGGAACAAAGCTTGGCCTGCAATAGTAATAAGCCTTTTTTTTTTTTTTTTTTTTTTTTTTTTTTTTTTTTTTTGATTCTGGGACTTGTATCACTCACCTTCTTTTTTTGCCTTGTTCGAAATGACCTTTGCTTTTGTTCACCTTTTGTTTTTTTTTTGCCTAGACTTTTCCCTCTTCTTTTTCCCGTCTCTCAAAAAGCAAAAATAAAAAAAATAAAAAATTCGACTCACAGGTGTTGCCGGGGTGTACAATCATGCTCGAGAGTATTACTCCATAGTGGTGGCTGTATTGGCTGGGGCTCGAGTCAGAGTTTTTCCTTCTCCACTCCACACAGCAACTTACATCGCATCTTTTGTATCTTGTACCAAGTAATAGAGCGAGCTGTACAGAAAAAAAAAACACTCCATAAATCCGTAGGCAGCAATCCTGGCGTGCCAGAGACTGCGCTGGCTTCCGTGGCCATCATCACGGCCCTGCCTATTCGAGCAGGGAAGGAGGTATCAGGAAAGATCCTTGCACACCTGACTGACGCCGCAAGTATGCTGCTTCGCCGTTGGGGAAACAAAGTGGCCCCGGTCTTGGTTCGGTCCGTGGCAGAAAGTACGAACACTCGTACTCTGTACGGATACTCTGTACGAGTAGGCGTAGATGAGTACAGATAATACTCATCTGCGAGATCAGCTTCCCACGATCCGAACATACGCAATCATCACACCGTTGCAGGGACCGGTGAACAGCGGCAGCATGAGGCCTAACCCAGCGTCGTAGTATTATGCTGCTCCGCTGAACCGAATGCGTCATGGATGCAGCCGCTGGATGAATCGCCGAACCGACCTAAATGATCAGTTTCGATTGATATCCGCGCGCGCACACACACACACACACGCACGCACGCACACGCACGCATGCACGCATAAGAACGCAAGTGAGTCTCAGATATCTGATGGGTTAGTCCAGCATCAAACCGTCCGGCGAGGCTCCTTGGCCAGGCTCTAGCGCGAGGTTCGGAACCTGCCACCGACAGAGGAGAATATCCGAGGAAAGAGGAAACTCCTTGTCAGAGGTTCCATCGCCTCGGTTCCTCCATGCTGCAGCAGTAATACCAGCTTGCAAAGACAAGTTCCCGTTAAAACTCTGCACCTTGTTCCTGTGGGACGGGAGGCATGGAATCATCCGAGGGATGGGATGGCGGGGTGGGCAATCTGGTTGGTTCCGAGTGCTTCGTATTCTTCCCACTGTGCACCGAGTACAGATAGATCTGTACATCCCACCCGCCGGGCTCGTGGGCAGGCCAATTGACGAGAGAGAGAGAACGAGATATTTTCTCTGCTAGCTTGGCAATGAGCCAACCGGGTGGTGGCATGGCGTAGAGGAGAAAACTCTACTCGGTAACCCGCTTCGTCTCGGTCAGATCGGCCAAGTCACCGAGTACTTCCCCCTCTGTACATGTACATGTATCGACGATACATGTGTACGCATACATGTTGTACGCCTCAAAGAGCAGACAAACTTCTGCGGGCACGCATTGTCACGGACTCGGCCATTTGCTGAGCCATCCACCATCAAGCCGAGCCGGAGCCGGAGGAGCAAGCAGGGAACAATGGTCGCCAAGGCCAAGCATAGAATGGTCTCCGTCAATCGGCAGCTTGCCGGTGGGTGGCGGGCGCCCTCCTCAGACCCGCTCCCGGCTCAGAGGCCATGATACCAGGAGCGGTAATGCTGAGAGAACCATGCACGGAGAGCAATATATGCAATATATGCTGGCAATATTGGGAGCAACCAGCTCGATCGGGCAGGTCCAGGGCCAGGTCCCCTCGTTCCGTCCGAGAGGGCTCATCAGCTGGGCGAGAGGGGGAGATGGCCAGACCGGTCAGCAGCAAGTCGGCAAGGGATTCCGCACTCCAGCGCCCGCGGGCATTCCCAGATCTGTAGATTAGCGACGGCCCCGGCACGGGAGAGAGAGATTCTGCACACAAGTCCACTATCGGCGGTGCATCACACCATGGCCGTATCACGACGGTCAAGAATGGGTACTAGTATAAGCGACCTTTCTTTTTCCGGTCCCCGGTGGACAGGACAGGCCAGGCAAGCAACGATGGGATTTGCCGAGAAAAGAGCGATCGATGGGTTAGTATGATTTGTTTTTCCATCTCCTCCCATTCGGTCGTCGTGCGGGTGCTACCACTACTTACTACCTTTGACTTCTGGAGGTGTCCGTCTTCGTCCAACTCTCCGGATGAGGTATATCGTAACGAGGGGAAGGATGGGGTCTGGACAAGGCCGTTTCTAGGCTCTCTCTCCCAAGCAAGAGAGAGGTTGAGTTCAATCGTTCGTATGGAATCGAAAGGCTGGGACATGGTTGTATGGAAACACTTCGCAAGAGGCACAACCACCCGATGCAGATGGGAAGAAGAATGGGAAGCAAAATGTCGTCTTTTTGTAAGAGAACCTCCCTCCCCTTTTTTTCTTCTTCTCTCTCTTTTTTTATTCAAGGG